GCCCTAACCTTCCCAAACGGCCCCACATACATCTGTGCGACCAAATAATCAGCGGCACTGCTCTCCGGCTTGATGAGGAAAATGTTGGTAAGGTCCAGGTAAGAGAAACCTGGCCCCTTCTTCGGCCGCATGTTCCTCTTCGGCCGCGGTACCCCTTTCACAGCAGATACCGGCTTCGGGCACAGAATGGTAGTAGAGGCGGACGCCCCGTCCACTACGCGGGAGACCCCTGCGTCCTCACCCTCAGATGACGAGGCGGACCTTTCATCCTCGTCCTCCTCGTCCGCATTATCTCCGGATTTATACGGGCTCAAATGTTCAATCTCCTCGGTGCACTCCTCGATCACATCATAGTCAAGAGACTTGGCGGAGGGCTCGTCGTCATACGGGTAATACTCCTCGTTTAAGGATTTCATCTTAACAACTCCTAAGGCACTAAGGGGAGCTACTTTAGATCTAAAGTGTTTTTGTGACTAACACTGGATCAAAGCCTAGAGAGAGCAAAATATGTAAGAAGTAGAAGAACGGATTAAGAAACTGACCTTGAAGTTTTGAAGAAGATGAAGAACACTCAGCAAAGGCTTTATCTCTCTAAAAAATTTTGGGCAGCACTTCGTTACTCAGATGGCAAATGAAGGCTGTCCTCGGAACGGGGAGGGTATTTATAGCCCCCCCTCCCAACGGTAACTACACGTGGCATCACCTTAGTGGCCATACCAACGGCCACCAATGGGATGTCACCATTCTGTCTGTAGGCCAAAGCCCTTCCACAGATCAGCGGCCCACCAGCGAAGCAGGCCCTACGGAGCAAGGAAGGGAAAATAACACCCACGACGGCCAACACAGCCAACGGCCATCTACGTCGCACCCGTATCGGCCATCCAAGTGGCCACGCATATTATGCAAAGGAAGGTTTTACAACGGCCACAATACCCCGAAGGAAAGGAACCCAATGGCCATGAGGCCCTCGCACTAAACCCTTGATGATAACCCTTTGAAAGCGACCTGCGTCCAAGGGTTCTCCCACAGGGTTACCTTGGTCAGGAAATCGCCAAAGGGTTGGATCCATGGGCAGTATGAGGATCCCACTTTGGCCTAAGTTTCAAGCTACTCCTTCACCCCTCACTTACTCTCCGGCCTGAAGCAGTGGGGGACTGGGGGACTACACCGGCCTCAAGAATAGCAGGCAAAATGAGAAAATAAAAATATACCAAATCCACAACTACAACATCAGACATGCACCACAACGTCAATAACATCGTGGTGCACCATCGGCCGCAACAAAACTTGAAATCACAGAACACTTATCGGCTTTGAGACCACAAACCACTCTCAGCCAGGAATCAAAGAACAGGAGGTTGACGTACCTGAATCACCATCGTCCATGTACCACAACGGCTCCAAAGTCCCCACAACTCCATCTCCGGCCAGACAATGTTATCATCCCAAAAACTTGGGCAACATGGCGCCTTGTCGCCCAAAGACACATGGTGTCATCAGCAACGGCCAAAAGGAATGCACAGCACCCTCACCGGCCACCCAAGACAATAGACGCCCGTCGTCCTCAAAACAAGGCGCAACCCCAACGGCCTCATCAGCCCAAAAGGGAAGTTCAACCATCAGCGGCCAAGGATAGGCACTACCTTCGTCGGCCACTCATTCCGGAACACTCATCGTCCACAAACAAACGCACCAAAGGAGTAACAGACTTCCTCGTCCACGTCAAGGAACGGGTAACGGCCAAACTCAGAACAGGGCCACCAAACGCCACGACAGGGAACGGCCAACGTGGTCCCACATCGGCCAAGAGCATCAAGCACAGAAATCTACTCTCCTTCACTTCGTCTACATCTCAGCTTAGAGAGTGGGGGACTCCTGATGGAGTATATGGGTCCAGGCCCAGGACCCACATACTCAGAAGAACAGAAAGCACAAGCCACTACGCAGTGCCCTCGTCGGCCAAAGGACCCTCATCGGCCGAAGAGGGACCAACTCAGAATATGATCCTGAAGCCAGGGAACCAGGGTGTCCTCGTCGGCCGTGCCCTCATCAGCCGTGCCCTCGTCGGCCAGACCCTCGTCGGCCACAGAGGTCTCGCATAACTAGATTTTACACTTATTCATTTATATATCCCATCATTTACTTTGTATTCGGCCCAATAGCGGTCCAGTTGTAAATGGGCCTCCCAAGCCCAAGGCTTGGGAGCCCAGCCCGTATTTTTCCTATAAATACTTCCTCTGGAGGTAGTTGTAGGGGTGACAAAATCATTCTATTGAAGCATTTACTTGCACTTCTCTCTCTAGCTCTCACTTCTCTCTAGATATATACTCTATCATAATCAATCGTAATATTCGCCATCTTTGGTTGTTTCCTCCATAAAGTGGCGGGTTGGGGTGATGCACACTTCTTGAGTTCTACATTTCGCCTTTAACCAATCGTGGAAGCAAATAAGTGTCTAAAGAAAGTTCGTGCTCAATCTCGTTCTGTAATCCGTTAGCATGTTGCTGGCCGCACTAAATTCTTGTTCCACAACAATTGTTGATATCGACATTGAAAGCACTTGCTTCGTCATCTTTGATAAAAGGGAGAAGTGCCAAAAAGGACATCAAGGTTTTTAATGAATCTCGGATATGACACTGAGGTCTAAGGTGGACCAAAAAAACACAAATTAAAACCTTTCCCTTAACTTTTAACCACCCACTAACTTTCCTTCCTAACGCCCGTTTCCCCTAAGTAAAATGACCTTTTCCCTGCGTTTAAACACAGATCCCCCGTTTACAGGCCTCAGGCCCGGGCGAGTACTAGCTCCAGTTCTTCCGGATCTGGGTCGGGTCTGAACGTCGTCCCAAAGAGGTAAGATGGGAGCCTCTCCGGTGAGCTATCAGGTTCAGTAGAGAGTTCACGCGGGTTCTATCTGAGCCATTCGCGATCAAATTCAGGTTCCGGTGGGAGCTGCGTCAACACTCCGCCCTTGAATGTGCTTCCCACCTGGAACATCTGCCCATCGGGAAAGGGGTCAACACTCCGCCCTTGAATGTGCTTCCCACCGGGAACATCTGCCCATCGGGAAAGGGGTCAACACTCCGCCCTTGAATGTGCTTCCCACCGGGAACATCTGCCCATCGGGAAAGGTTCTGAAGATTGGGATGGCGAGCAGGACAACCAAGACCGACGTTTTGGGGTCTGGGACTGGGAATTATGGCCACGGGAGCATAATACGCGGCTGCAGCGTAGGGAGTCACAAATTCGCTGGGGCCAGCAGAGATGGAGGTTCTTGCATTGCTGCGAATTCAAGAGTACCAATATTGTGTAAAGATCCGGAGGAGATAAAGAGAATGGGGAATGGGAATTATAAGAACTAAGAAGGGTAATTTTGCAGAAGCTTTGGATCTTTACGACAAGGCTATTTCTATTTTACCCCTCAATGATTGGTCTGAAGAGGTTCACAGAGGCAGTTAGGGAATGTGAGGAAGCTATTAGGTTGGATGTGTGTTTAAACGCAGGGAAACGGGCGTTAGGATAGACATGTAATACTACCTTTGTCATACTTTTAGATTCTTGTCCACTATTTCCCAATTAATATAAATTGATTTTAATCTTTTACTTTATATATCCAACTTTTATTAAATTTGATTTTTCCATTTTATAAAACTTTTAATATAATTTCTGAATATGTAAATTTTATTTACTAAAAAATCGTATTATTGAAAATGATCAATTAATTTTATGGTTGGTCAAATATCATAAATTGTGTGACAACTTTTAAGTGCGACGGGAAGTATGTTTTTTTAATTATATTCGTATGTCTATTCTAGTTATTTGCATGATTGTTTCCCTTAACATTTAAATTTTGAAAAATATTTATGTTATAGGATTTATAGCTTATTTAAGTTTTTGATGAGTGGATTTCAAATTTTGATGACAGAATTAATTGCTACTTCCTCCGTTCTCTAATACTTGGCCCTCTTTCCATTTTGGGATGTTCTCTATTAGTTGTCTCCCTTTCCACTTTTGGTAAGTTTTTTCAATAAATATATTCATTTACCCTCATTCTCTTTCCTACTTTTTCATTCTCTTTCCTACTTTTACCTTTACACACAACCCACTACACCTTTTATCCTACCCCTATTAATTCCTTCTTAAATCTTGTGTCAAAGGCTATACTCTCATCTATTAGAGAACGGAGGGAGTATTTTTTAAAGTTGAAAATAACTTTTACGAATAACTTGAACACTTTTTAAATTGAAAACATTTTAAAATGATAGATAAATATACTTGGAATACTCTCTGAACAAAGTTTGTTTTTACTTTTTACAATCAAACATACTTTGCTTAAAATAATTCAATTAGTTTTGATTATATTTACTATTAAGACATGACTTTTTCTTTTATTTAAATTATTTTAAATGTAGGTTTTAATATAGGTATTCTTTTAAGAGAAGATATTTAAAAAACATTGAAGTGATTCGCCGAATCTGCATTAAGATATCTTTTAATCAAATAAATTAATGTGACATTATCTTAATTTTAATCAAATAAAAATGAAAATAAATAGAATAGAATAGATTTACATTTATGTAATATAATCAGTAATGAAACATTTTCACTTGACATTGATGGAATCAAACGAGCCCTTAGTGTAATAGAAAGGAGGCACACAAACAAAGAAACTCAATTTTGTTCACCTCTTTAAGAGGATGATGTTCACCCTCCCTATATCTCTCATGTGGTATGATCATTTCTTTTTGACAAGTGTTATAAGTTTTTTATTTAAAGTCCATTTTAACAAAAATAAATAAATATATGTAGTATCAAATTTTATACTCCTTCTATCCCGAAATCAACATCTCAGTTTGACTTCACGGGTATTTAGGTAAGATTAAAAATAAAGTTGACTTTCCAAAATTGCCCTTGCTTTATTAAAGGGGATTCTGGCCAAAAATAAAGGGGAAGAGGGTAAGGAAATAGTAAAATGGGGTAATAAACATCCATTCCCAAACAAAAATGATTAATTATCACATCCATATGTGATCTATTCGTACAACACAGCTCCCAAAAATAAAAAAGTTTGAAGTTCCCTTCCAAAACAATTGAGATTCCCTCCTTTTTACAAATGTTATCCCCTTTTTATAGATAGACAAAAAGTAAACATCTTCCATCAGCCTTTACTCCTTTCAGCTACCTCCAAACGTGCAGTCATAAATGGATAGCTTGAGTGCAGAAGTTTATGCTGAAAGCTGGAGTTTGGATCTGAATCCCCCCCCTCAAGGTACACATCTCTCACTTTCACTTACACAAATAAAAACCGATGAGGGTGGGTCAATTGGGTCATGTTCTACCCATAAAAACTCACCTAAGCTTACATGTGAGCAAATAAGAAGAATTATTGAAATATTTTTAAGCCATGCGAAAGAGGGGCAAGTTCAGAGGGGTTTAATGACACAACCATGAAGTTCATCGTGTCAAGAAAGAATATCCAAACTTTATGGCGCACAACAAAAGAACAATTGGACGCTGGCCTACCAATAAATGTGGACAGAAACGAGAAGGGACATGTTTGTAGAAAACCAAAGGCATTTGACTTGCAAAAATTACATAAATCCCTTGTCACCATAGAAAAAACATGAGAGCTTTGGGCTATGCAATGGAAGTGTCCACGTCTACTGTCCAAATGTTGTTTAAGGGGAAGCAAACAAAAAGGCACTCCAATGCAATTAGGCCGCTTTTAAATGAAAAGGAAAAGATCAAGAGGTTAGAGTTCTATTTAAACAACATAAATCCTTCCTCATTGCACTTGAGCCCAACATTTCATCATTTTTATGATCACATACACATACATGAGAAGTGGTGTTATTTATCAAAGAAATTCATACCAAAGATTATGTTCTTGACAGTTGTGGGCTTACCTAGACCGGGGGACAATGGGGAGGCTTTATGGGATGGAAAGGCTGGAATATTTCCATTCACTTATCAAGACACAACCAAGAGATCAAGTAAAAAAGACTAACAAGTACATTAGAGACTAAGGCAACTTTAAGTGTTACAAGAGCAATGGTCAAGGACATCATACTTAATCAACTACTGTTAGCAATAAAACAGACATATAATCATTCAACAAGATAATGACAGGCCTCATATTGATGGTAATGATGCGGATTTAGTGAGGAATGCAACATATGATGGATGGGATATCCAACTTAGATGTCAACCACCATACACCTTAATGTTTTAGACTTAGGTGTTTTTAGGGCAATTGATTTTATTAAAGATCAGAAGGCACCAAAAAGCATAATGGAGTTGATAAATGCGGTCATCACATCATTTGAAGAGCTTACACCCAATACATTGAACAAGGTGTTCCTAAGCTATCAATATGTAATGGAAGAGGTGCTAAGGCATAACGGTGACAACAATTTCAAACTGGAGCATGTAGGGAAAGACAGATTGCAAAGGCTGGGGCAATTACCCAAAAATGTGCAAATTTGTCCATAATTGTATGACACAACGAGGGCAAATTTGGCTGCACACTTGGCAACTACCACATCACAACCTGCAACTCAAGAGAATGAGTTCATAGGTGAAGATGTATAGTATCTTCACTGATGAACTTTGAAGTTGTAGGCAACTTAAATTTTTGTTAATAGTGCTGTTATTTTTGTTAGTATCTAGTTGTGCACCTTTTTGTATGCACTTAAGGTGGCAGAAGTACTTTTTTTGCAAGTCAATTTGTATGGTAAATCAGGAAGTTGTGGCATAGTTTTGCAAGTCAAATGCATTTTGGAAACTACCAAACATTAATACAAACATTTTGCTGGCCAACTAAGCCACATGTCATCATTAGTTACACACACAGAAATCACCATATACAGCGTACACACACACTATCATGGCAACTTGGAGGACATGGATAACAAATGGGGTTCAGGGGCCATCATCACCATCCATTTGGGTGCATCAGATTTCTTCATACACAACACACATAGAAATCATCATATATTGAGCGCTCGCGCACTCTCTAGTCAACTTGGGGGACATGGATAACAAATGGGGTTCAGGGGCCATCATCACCATCCATTTTGTGTACCAGATTTCTTCATACACATCACACATTGAAATCATCATACACACACACACACACACTGTCAAAGCAACTTTGGAATAAAGCATCAAATTTAACAAAACTCTACATCAAAACCATTAGTTAAAAACATATAAAAAAAGAGCCAACCTAAAGCACTCAAATTACCTATGAAATAAAGCTTCCTAAAAATAAACCTCTACATAAAAGCAATAATTATAAACTTAAAGTGAATAAGAAATTCCAGCAACACTCGAAAAATGATAACATTACCTTTAAGATACTACTTCAGTCCCAAATTGTAAGATACATATCCTATTCACTTGGTCAACACAAATCACTCTTAATCTCTTATTTTATAAATCAACTTTTTATCAAATTTGATTTTGGTTTTGGAGACTTTGTGAAGCTTTTAATGTAGTTTCTGAATATGTAATTTTTTTTTCTAAAAATAATTTGAGTGCATACAGGGATCCGTTTGCTTTATCGTCGGACAAACATCGTAAAACATAAAGTATCTTACAAATTGGGACTGAGGGAATACTATATTAATAGATTGAGCATAACAGAAGTGATCAAAAATAATAAAAAGGAAGCATGTCTATCACTCTTCTACAATTAAAATAGGCACCAAACAATATTTATATTCATTTGTATTGTTTATATTTATATTAGTATACTTAACTGTAGCAAATATTTGAGCTAGGGTTTGCAAGTCCGCCACATGAGGTGTGTGACTGCTTTTCTCCCCTTTAATTTGCCGGATGCGCCACCGCCACTGAAGGGTTATCATCGTGAGAAGGTTGGTGAATTCCACATGTGATAATCTTACTATGCTTTCCTTCCCGGCATATCCGACGTTTTTGTTCCCCTCGATTGTAGGGTGTTTTTGTCCCCGCTAGCTTTGGGTAGTCGGCTGTGGTGACTGCTTGGATGGGATGTGTTAGCCGGAACTGCCACGGGTTAGGGAATCAATCACGGTTCAAGTGTTGGAGGTCAGTATGGAGGTTCATGGAACCAGACAAAAAACGGCTTTGCGGCGGTGCTACTGGATCAGCACCGCCTGTAATTCTTTTAGATCTTGTGAGCGGGGTGCTTCCTTCTGAGGTGGCTAGGCAAACCTCTTCTCTCTTCCCAGTGACTGGTAAAATCGGAATGACATCTTCGGAGGTGGTTGATCAAACCTCTTCTCCCTTACTGGTGGTTGGAAAAATCATGAGATTAGATTCTATTTGTTCTTTTCATTTTAATAACTCTAGTTTTATATCAATTTATTTTAGTAGCAAGTATAGCGATGTTGTTAGATTAGTCTACCATGATGCGGGGTTAGCTATCTTGACGGGTCCTCAGGGGCGAGTCAGTTCTAAGTTTCACCCTAGGGTAGCTCTAAGCTATTGTTTTGCTTTGTCTCTTGTCACTTTTATTATTATTAATAAATAAGTGTTCTTCTTTCAACAAAAATATATCAAATTAGGCATAATAGTATTTTTATGGAGTGTGTATTATAAATTAGAATATTATTTCAAATATTAGCTCCCTCCAAAAAAGATAAGCCAATTTGACTTTTCTTGGTCAACGGTGTCAAAGTTTAGACAATAATTTTAGATATTATATTTGTGTGTAATTAATAAATTTTATACTTTTATGAAATGTTTTTTTTTATAAATAATATTGATGGATAGTGTACCCGGGGGGTAGCTTATCCGAGGGGTTATTACGGGGAATAACAAGAGAGAAGTCAGAGCAAGTAAGTATAGAGAGAGAAAGTATATTGGAGAGTGTTCAGCGTTTTCAGCGTGGTTACAAATGGGGAAATGGGGCGCTATTTATAGTAGCAATAAATTCCGGACAGGGACACGTGTCAAGCGTTCATTGGCCGAGGGGTCACCTCAACTGGTTGGCGCTGGCAACCGCATGTGGCCGCATTTAATGCGGCTGTTGGATGGGACATTGTACAGGGTACGGTGATCTGTACGCATGTGGAGCAGATATTATGTTGGAAGAGGCGCCCTCGGCAGTAGATGACTCGTCGAGGGCTCTGAGTACTGGGGACCCCCTTAGTGCCGAGGGCTACTGATTTTCGCCGTTTTTCCCAGTAACTTTGTTTTCCTGTCTTGGCCCTCCTGTGAGAGTTAGAGCCTTCGGCCAGGGGGCCGAGGGCACCCCTGGTGCGCATTGTGGGCTGCTTGGTACTCTGGGCACTGTGATTTGGGCCTGTTGTGCTTTCTGGGCCTGTTGGGCCTTTATTGGAGTATTAGGAGTCTGTGGGCCGGGGGTTCCCGGGCCATATACTCCATCAGGAGTCCCTCACTCCTTTTGCCGAAAGGTACTTGAGGGAAAAGGAGTAATTGTGCTTGTCCTCTGCCGCTGCTTCATTTGTAGTTTGTAGAGTTGTGGGTAGTTTGCTATTTGTTTATTCTGCCGAGGGCAGTCCCTCAGTTACCCACATGTTGGGACTTGAGGGGTCATGTTTGTGATTTTTGTGATTTTTTCCGAGGGGGTCCTCCAGTCCCCCACTCCTTGAGGCACTTGCAAAGTGGTGAAAGGGAGTAGAGTAGTTGCATTGCTGTTGTGGGCCGAAGGCTGACGCTTTTCGTTTCATTTTGGGGGGATGCCTCGTTAAAAACCTCATTAGGAAAAACCCTGTGGGAAAAAATCCTAATGAGGGAAAAAGAGTGCACCGAATTCCCCCAACGATGAATCGAAAATGTGAAACCTTGGTTCAAAATGGAGAATAATGATGATGCCGAAGGCTTTCCCCGTTCTGAGGGCTCATTTGTTGATTAGCCGGAGGCTTGCTTTTGATACCCTGGGAGGCGCCGAAGGGGAGTCCCTCAATCTGGGGATCGAGGGCGTAATGAATGCGGGTAGTAGTTGAATTGTTACCGGGGGGGTCCCCTGTTTGTTGATTAGTTGGTGATGAGGATATCCGAGGGGTTATTACGGGGAATAACAAGAGAGAAGTCAGAGCAAGTAAGTATAGAGAGAGAAAGTATATTGGAGAGTGTTCGGCGTTTTCAGCGTGGTTACAAATGGGGAAATGGGGCGCTATTTATAGTAGCAATAAATGTCGGACAGGGACACGTGTCAAGCGCTCATTGGCCGAGGGGTCACCTCAACTGGTTGGCGCTGGCAACCGCATGTGGCCGCATTTAATGCGGCTGTTGGATGGGACGTTGTACATGGTACGGTGATCTGTACGCATGTGGAGCGGATATTGTGTCGGAAGAGGCGCCCTCGGCAGTAGATGACTCGCCGAGGGCTCTGAGTACTGGGGACCCCCTTAGTGCCGAGGGCTACTGATTTTCGCCGTTTTTCCAAGTAACTTTGTTTTCCTGTCTTGGCCCTCTTGTGAGAGTTAGAGCATTCGGCCAGGGGGCCGAGGGCACCCCTGGTGCGCATTGTGGGTTGCTTGGTACTCTGGGCACTGTGATTTGGGCCTGTTGTGCTTTCTGGGCCTGTTGGGCCTTTATTGGAGTATTAGGAGTCTGTGGGTCGGGGGTTCCCGGGCCATATACTCCATCAAATATGCTCAAATAATTTTCATATTTTAAATAACTGTGTATGAAAAATATAATTGGTCAATCTTGACCATCATTGATCAAGAAAAATCAATTTGGCCAATCTTTTTTAGACATGGGAGTATATAAAGTGTGTTAATAGATTATTAGGGTAATTGAAATCCAAAGTTTTTAAAATTTGAAGTACATACAAATTTATAAGCTACATAATTGACGTATTATCAGACATTCAAAGCAAAACTAAGATTGTATACCAGGTTAAAAGGATATTTCATATTTTTAGTGAACCAACAATCAGCAAGTCTGGATGGCTAATTTCATAATTTTTAGTGAACCAACATAATTAACTACTCCATATTTTTTTTGTTAGGAAATATCCTAACGAGTGATCAGCAATAGAGTTAACCAACTACTAGCTGTTGGTCGGCCGGCCGGCCTCCATCACATGGCGGCTTCTCTAGGACGGAGCACCGCATTGGTCTGTGGTGGTCGCGGCGACTTTCTATGATGGTGATGTACTTTGGCGGCCGAAACTGCAGGTCTGTGATGGTACCTCACACTTGCGAGCTGGCGGGTCCTCTGAGGTCATCGCTGGTTCATGGCCTCCTAGACTTAGCTTGTTGTTCATCTCCCCCCAAGTCGGATAGCTACTCGCTGTTAGCTGGAGATTCAGAGTCAACAACAGTCTCAAGTGGTCACAAATCATTGACGGCCGCAAGTCCCGGTGGCGATAGCTTCCCAGGCGGCAACACAGCTTCGCAGGTTGGCACAACTTCTTTCCATGGAGGGGCCTTCGACAAGTAATAAGTCGGCACTTCAATTCCCCGCCCCCAAGTGTCGTACCTTCTGGGTTGGTTTCAACCATTATTCTATTGTTCCAAAAGGTGGAATCTTCCACCCCAGGAGCCCCACCTCGACCCGACAGGATGGTGGGGAGGTTAGTCACGGTTACTCAGTCAGCAAAATGACAGTAGATTCATACACCCGTGCGCACCAGAGGCCTAACCTTATTTCAGATTCTGTGACCTCCACCTGGTCGCTGCGGGGATTTGAACCTTGGTCCATTGTTCCAAATCTCCCACCACTTGACCAACTTAATAGTGTAGAATTAATTAAGCATTAATTCTACATATGTTGTTCACTTATTTCAGTATTTGACTATGACTAGACCTGATATTACATATGTTGTTCACTTGGTATCCCAATTTATGCATGCTCCTCGTACTTCACATATGTTTGCTGTCAAGAGAATTTTCAGGTACCTTCAGGGCACTATCACGCATGGACTTCAACTTCAGCCTTTCGCACGACCCACCTCTGTTGTTGCATACTCTGATGCTGATTGGGCTGGTTGTCCTGATAGCAGTCGATCTACCTCAGGTTATGCTATTTTTCTGGGTCCTAATTTGATTTCATGGCGTTCCAAGAAGCAACCCACTGTCTCCAGATCTTCTACAGAAGCTGAGTATAGAGCTATTGCCTACACAGTGCAAGATACATTACACATCCGGTCCATACTTTTCGAACTTGGGTTTCCTATACATCGTCCGGTTCGGCTTTTATGTGATAATATTTCTGCATCTTATTTATCTGCTAATCCCATTCAGCATGCTCGCAGCAAGCACATCGCCATTGACTATCATTTTGTTCGCGAACGTGTGGCTCATGGTGATCTCCTGGTGCAGTATGTTCCTACGAAGTTTCAGTTGGCTGATATTTTTACAAAAAGCTTGGCTCCTCAGCAGTTTTTATTTCTTCGAGACAATCTACGCGTAGTTCCTCCTGCATAGCTTGAGGGGGTGTAATAGTGTAGAATTAATTAAGCATTAATTATTAGGTAGTTTCCTAATTGTACTCAGATACTTATTTCTTATATATATACTGTCAGGGCTACCAGTCTAGGTAAGCCTGTTATTATTTCTCACACAACTGAGCTACCCGTGCGGGTAAAGGTTTCAGCCATTATTCTAAAAGTCCCTTTGGGCGTCCTACTAGTTGGCAGCCCAGACCGCCTAATCCGCCATGTATGGTGTCGAGATTCGGCAAACATTTTTTTGCTCTAAGTAGGCGGATGAAACCACATGCTACCACCTTAATGCAGCTCAGCAAGCGCAAGGTGGTCAACAATCTCCAGGTCAGTCGCCATGTGTGGCGTCAATGACGGGGCTCTTAGGATCTCGAAAGAGGTCTAAGTAGTGCGCGAGTTGAGAGCTTCTCTCACTAAGAGAAAATATTTCCCAACGGTTATATTCCTCTTAGATTGCTCGTGCTTTGGTTCTTGGCTCTTCACGCTTAATCCTCACGATTAGTCTCGTATATTCCTTTTGTTCCTTGGTCGGATTTCAACACTCTATCATATCTATCGATTGGATTTGTTAGAGTTGAATATTTTTGGGCAAAAATGAGAAAAATTAAATTATTGGCGCGCAGATTTTACTGTTCACTTTCAAATTGATTTCTGCTCATAACAAAAGATTGGACGATTGTTTGTGGAAAGGGAGTTCGGTTTGGGGGTTGCCATCCCTTGGCGAGCCTCCCCACACCTGTCCGATCATCAGAGCTGCTCTCTCGGCGGAGATACAAACTAGCCATTATTAAGCTACATTGTTCATCGCAGGATGGTTTCTCGTTGACGGCTTCAAATCATATTGTTCGATTCCCTTTCTGAAGCTGGATTGGAGGTCGTCTAGATGAGACAAACCTAAGGGGTGCCTGTTTTGGCCCCTACAAGTTAATTTTCAGCTTCCTCCTTTGTTCGTCGTTGTAGTACTTGTGCGCAGTTTTCTGTGATTAGTTAGGGATTTTCTTGGAATTCTCTAGCTACCAAAGCTTTTCAAACAAAAAACGCTGTGGTGATCGCAATCTTCAGGGGTACCTACTAGAGTATTTTGAGAATTGTTTGGGATGGGTTTTGATGAGATACCTACTGTTCATCTTCTTTTCACCGCTATTTATTGTCAAGTGAGGACGGATCTCGTTTGATTACAAAATTTTGTATACAAAGCAGTAAATTTTCATTGCTCTCCAGGGGCTCGTGAGTTTGTATGAGCAAGTAGAATTGGAAACCCTGATGACTTGTTGAACTCACCACTTGGAGGTGTTGGTAGTGGTGCTATTTTAGGAAGGCTTCAAGGTAAATTTTCTGTATATGGTATATGGTATTGTTAAGATACAACTGCAATGCTTAGGGGGTGTTTGGTTAGCGGCATATCAGTCATTTTTTGGCTGATTTGACTACTATTTAGCTTTTTGACCAGATAAACAGTTGATTGAAGTGTTTGGTTAGTTGGCTTTTTCACTTGACTTTTTATCTGGAACAGCCAAAATGCAAAATGCTGATAAATCCGGCGTTTAGATAATGGCCGTTCCAATATTTCATCGATATCTCTGTTTTGCCCAAGGGTCTCCGTCTCTTCTTGGTGCGTCACGCTCTCACTTCTACTACTTCCTCTAAAAAACGGAGAGCACCGGAGAAAGCTTTCTTCTCCACTTGGACACGCATGTGGCCTCCATATGAGGAATAGGGTAAAGAAACCCAGAATGCATGTGGGTGAAGGAGATTGAGATGATGGAGGAAGCCAAGCTTGGAGATGGCGGCAATGCTGATAGACAAGAAGAACAATTTACAAGTTTCAAGGTCTATAAAAACAAGCCGGATAGATGGGAAAATTTATTAAAAGTTTATTCTTAATCATAATTTATACGGAATGATTGTAAACAATTTACCATTTACAAGTTTCAAGTTCTGGATATCATTATTCTCAATTAAGTTCATCAATTTGTGAAAAAAAAAGGTTTAAGATAATTATTACTTTGGTAGATACGTTTTTAGTTTTTAAATCATAAAAATAATTTAAGTAGTTGAACTAATTATATTAACAAATACGGAGTAATTTAATTGATACCCTTAAAAGTCATTTAACAAGTTATCAGCCAATTACAAGCAGCCATTTAACCAAACATCTTTTGACAAACTGCCAATCCTATCAGCTTATCAAAACAGCCAACGGGAACTGCTATCATTAATCAGCCAACACAATCGGCCAACAGCTATTAGGCAACGGCCGATTGCCAAACACCCCCTTAGTCTCTTTGCAACTACTGTGTAAATTCTCCAACACTCTTATTTAATGCTCTTTGTTAAAATCATTTTACCGGAAAGTTAAAATCACTTCCCCATTAATATAAATTAATATGGCAGTACTTATTGATATAATAATTATTAATATTTTTTATTTTTATGTCAAATGCAGAATGATTAATGGCAGTACACTGTTCACATGCTCTCAAATTTGAAGTTCTTTGTTGGTCGATTTGGATGTTCTTGAACATTGTCCTTTTTAAATTAAACTCAAAGTATCCACTTTTGAATTTAGTTTTGATTTGTCCCCATATTATGGGATGTTAAAGGATTGAATGTTTATTGTGTTGAGTGTTGGATTTGTTCTGAAATAAACTGTTGGATTTTATTATTCGTGTTGGATTTTTTATTGTTGGTGAAAGAATGATGATTAAAATTGTGTGTTAATTTTTTAGTGAGCCTAGTGATTTATTACTTGGTTATAGTCTTCTTAATTTTTTACGGGTCTTAATTTGCATATTAAAGGATATTTTCGGGTCCCATTCAAACCGAACCGATATTTCGGTTCCCGATTCTATTTCGATTCGGTTTCGGTTTCCATTTTTCCTAAAATCGAAAAATCGGTTCGGTTCTACAAACCGACAAATCGGTTCGGGTCCCAAACCGAACCCAGCCCTATGTAAAACTGTAAAAGTAGTGACAGACAAAAACAACCACACAAACACATGTAAAAGTGTTTACGATAGTGATTTGTGTACACAGATTTTTTTAAATACACCTTCCCTTGTGAAATACTCCCTCCGTCCCACAATGGACTTCACACTTTGACCTACATACATATTAAGGAAATAAATTTACCACGGGGTAAATTTTTCTGTTTTGACACTGTTTCGACACTGTTTGATATTGTTTTGCACTATTTCGACACTGTTTGGCAGTGTTTGACACTGTTTTGATGTAGATTAATTTGCCATTTAAGGAAATGAGAACTTGTTTTGGGACATCCAAAAAAGGAAAGTGGGAAGTTCATTGCGGGATGCAGGGAGTAGTGAGTAGAGAATTGCCAGCTGTGGACATGTGAGAGGGTGTTGCCTTATTCTCTCAACTCTCAAGGGCAGCGTCGTAACTTCGACGCGGTTTTCCCTACTGCTAAGCAAAAAAGATACGGAGTGAGTGGATACTAGTAATAAGGAATTTTCTCAATTCAGGACCCGAAAGATAGATGAATTATCAATTCGGGACCTGAAAGATGAAATCTATTGGTATAGGATCCGAATGATGAAAAACTATCAATCTAGGATCTAATATTACACAGGTTTTGATTTATTTAATTTTTTATTAATTCCATTGCTAATTTTTGATAAACTTTTCTTCACAAAAGTTTATTAGTTTCATAAAACTAAATAATATATAAAAATTTTAAGATAAAAAAATTAATAAAATTTCTGACAACTTAGTTCCTAAATTGATAACTTCCAATTAGGGATGTCAAAAAAACCCGACCCGCAGTGACCCGCCCTGGCCCGAGACATATGTTCAATTATTAGTATAATTTAATAGATTAACTATTCAAGTCTGAGTAATTTTTCCTTGAAATTTTTAGGGTATCATGAATTTGATTTAATATATTAATTTTTAATTATTATTTAGAGATAAACTTTATGTAGATTCAGTTGGTAACAACTTGCCACAAATAAAAATACATACTAGCTAATTAGGTTACGGCGGGGCAGGGCGGGGAGGACCCGCTCTGCATGGGGCGGGTCATGGGTAAAAAAGTTTGGACCCTTGCAGGTCACGGGGCGGGGCGGACCCTGTAACACCGCCCCCAAGTATTTGTACTTCATCAAATTATGTATTGAACCCTGAGAAATGTATAAAAGCGTTTTTACGTGATTGTAAATTCTTATCATTTCTTTTACGTTAATAGTAAAATTCACGTGGGGCCCACACCGGATGTGGGGCCGCCCGATATTATCGGAAGCACATATTATATTAATCTTGGACTAGATAATATGTATATGGTGATGGATATCCTAATTGGGCCATGGCAATGGCATAGAGTTGACCGGTTGGTCAAACAGGGCCAAATTATCGGTATCGGCAATTTATCATATAACAGCCCAAAAAGGGATTCCGGAGATTTCTAAATTAAAGTTGGGGAATCATATTGATTCTAAGGTCCAATAAGGATTGGGAACAAATGTTATATTTTATTTGACCCGATAAAATAAAATATACTTAAAACAGTCCGGAAAATACAAATTTCGGGACCGATTGTACACTTGGGAACATAAAGGGATGACCTCCCACATGGGTGGGGGCCACCCCACGTTTTTTTCCAGCCTTGATTGGTTAGAGGAGTGTGCAAATGCTTACTTTGGATGAGAGAGCCGAGCTAGGGGGAGGTTGAGACAAGAATTGACTCCAAGAGGGCCCCCACCCCTCATCATTGTCTAATGAGCCCAAAATAGACTCACGTCACCCCTTACAGCCATCCATTCGGATTTGGCATCAACTTAGGTGAGATAAGCTCTGCAACCACCTTATTCTTCACCCATTTTCGCACCAAGGCTAAGGAAGAAGGGGAGAAATAGAGAAGAGAAAAGAGGAAGCTAGAGAGCAAAACTTGAGATTTTCAAGGTAAGGACTTCTCTAATCCCATTCCTTTTTCTTAAACCATCTTATATGATTATTCAATCATATTTCACACCCTAGGATTGTTCTACACGTTTGGAAGTGTAGAATGAGGGGTTGGAAGGTGGTTTTAAGCCCAAGAACGGGCTTAGAAGCCAAAGTGACCGATTCGCCGGAAAATAACTTTTTGGAGGTTATTTGTATTACTATG